ATCTCTTATTTGCAAAATAATGAATAACCATTCCGTGTAATTGGGCATTTCTTATAAGCCCCAAATATTTTGTACAGGGCTACTGTTAGGTCGGCTATTTTTTGGCCGAGAGACCCGGGCTGTGGGAACTCTCGTCGGTATACTGTAAACTCTTCCTTTTAATACAATTGTTAGCTTCATCAAAAAAAGAAAAAAAGAATAACCATTCCACTTTTATTTAGGTGGTGGATGGTTAGCACTTTATCAAAGATAGCCAACCATCCAACAGTTTACACTTTGGGAGGATCAAGAAGACTCCAAACATTGCAAGCTATGTTTGGCCCACCAATTTCCCAGGTTAAAATATTATTATTGGACTTGGTTGTTAGCCGTGATGGTCCATACCATATGGGCATTGTTTCTTAGTGAGTAGAAAAATAACTGAAGTTCAGTCATGCAATCCACTGAGGCTGCAATCTTCTCTTGCTTTAGCCCTCTTCTTAAGATTGTATATCATACTGCACCTTTTCCCATCCCTTAGACCATCTAGCTGCATTTGCCCCTTGGTTTTGGGCTGTGGAAAATAGGTAGGAAAATCTTACCTTAATTGGTTCGGTGCTCAACCATACATCATTCTAAAATCAAAATTTTGTTCTCCTTTCATTCCCTGCTGTTATTGTTACATTCCTTATAAGTTCACCTCTCAATTGATTGATTCCTTTTCAAAATGCCTGAAATTCGCGTAGTTTTTTGGACTCTAACCATCAATTCTCATCAAGCCCATACTTATCCCTGACAACCTTTTTCTGCAATTTTTGGTATGGTCTGTGATCCTACAGCACCATCTACCGAGCAAGGCTTGGTTTGTCTCTCTTATTCTTCTTGTCCACAATAAAACCCAAAGTTAGAACTTCAAATGGATGCTCTAAAGTCCAAAAGTTTTAAAATTAGCCAGACTAAGATAAAATATATATAGAATGCAAGTTTACCAATAATAGGAGTGGAAACGATGAAGTAGTTAAGATTGATTGCCAAGAAGTTCCTAAAAGAGATTATTTTCGATATCTTGGGTTGATAATCCAAGAGAATAGAGAGATTGAGGACGATGTCGTGTATAGAATTAGAGCTAGGTGGGCAAAGTGGAGATGTACATTCAGAGTTTTATGTGATCGCCGCATACCAATGAAACTGAATGGGAAGTTTTATAGGACAACTGTAAAATCAGCCATGCTTTATGGGACAGAATGTTGGGCGGCCAAGAAACAACATATCAACAGGATGAGTGCAGCTGAGATGAGGATATTTAGATGGATGAGTGGCAGGACAAAAAAGGATAGACTTCAGAATGAATTTATTTGAAGGAACTTAAGGGTGGCTCCAGTAGTTGATGAGATGAGGACAAGTAGATTTAGGCGGGCTGGCCATGTGTAGTATCGACTTGATACAACTCCAGTTAGGAGAGGCAATTTGGTTCAAGTGGAAGGCTCTAAAAGGGTAAAAGGAGGGCTCAAAAAGACATGGATGGAAGTAGTGAGAAGAGATATGGGAACTTATGGTCTCACTGTGGGTATGGGCCTTTATAGAGCTGAATCGCAGAACATGAATTGTGTAGCTGACCCTAAATAATTACGATAGGCTCAGATGATGATGATGATCATGAAACTTGGTTCCCATCTACTAGATATGACCGCTGCTTATCTGCTGATCAATAAGAAAACCTTATAAGGGCATGTTTGGATGTACTCGTTATCAATGAAAATTCACATTTTCAATAAAGTTTATCCTGATAATGGGTTATCTGGTGTTTGGTTGTATCCATTATAAAGTTTTATGAGATAAACTTACAGGCAATTTGACATGTAAGTGCATCTTTTTGAAATGCTGTTTTACTATATTCAAAGTAATTTGCTGAACATCGCACATTCTTGGCTAGAAATAGCTAAAAGAAGTTGGAAATGACTGAAAAGTTAAATATTTAAGTAGCTGTATGCATAATACATGACAGATACTATACCGCAAACAAGATGACATTATCTTGGGTATATATTAATTATAGATAAGATAATATATTCCAAATAAATTAATTGTCATCCAAACAGGTCCTAAGTCTTTCTAGGTGGTTGGCCATTGAGATAGGGATCATAAATAATGATATAATAGAGTAATCCAGCAAGTTGTAGAGGTGCTCTTCGATTTCTTCTTTACACATTGCACAAAACATGTTAAAGAGGTGCACATGTAAACACGAAATTTGAAAATATGAGAAAATTTGAAGTTCAAGAAAAAGAAAACTGAAAGCCTTGACTTTGGAATGGCACATTTGATTTCTAGAACTTCTGGCTCTGCGAACCGGAAGTTCTTGTGAGCCAACAGTTCTAGGTTTTTGCATCACTTGTGTGTTTGATAACAGGAAGTTCTATAGAGTGAGGCCTTTTTGGAACTTCCAATTTCCAAAGAGAGTGGATACCACCAGTTCCATGCCCCCCATGGAATATTAAGTTTGGAAATGGTTGAGGGATGGTGGCATCATTTCCAAAATTTTTCTATGCGTTTTAATTTTTAATTTTTTTCAGTAAATCTTAGATCTACACAAATTTTGGAGGGTCTGTGTGCCTTATCAAGGCAAATGTACCAAAGCAAATGTTTAAAAAAAAATAAAAAAAAATGATTCAAGTAAGACCAAAACACCTTAAAAGTTTAAGGATGTTTTGATTATTTTATTTTTTTCAAAATATTTATTTTATGTGTTTTAAATGTGCACGAGGGCTATAAGAATGGATGCCCCAGTCGTTAGCTTATTATTATGTACATACCATAAAAAAGAAAGATAAAATTCGAATACTAAGAAATTCTATCAACCATTCAATTGATAACCTTTTAGGTGAACTATGATGTGGATTGTTGATCGTTTTGAAAATTTTGGCCTTCTATTCATGCATTTTTATTCTTGACCCCAATATCTGATCAAGATAGAAATGTATGCAACTCATTTAGGTGAATCTATAAACAATATAAAAAATTAATTCGAGAGAAATCAAATTACCAAAGTACCCCTCAAATTTTAATGGGCATCTTGGCCTTCTATTTCTATTCAAGTATTTACTTATAGCTTTTATAGGTGTATGAGGGTGACAAGTATGGATACATAAAATTTTGGCTCAGTCAAATGTATAGTGAAAAATGAAATTGAGATAAGCACGCGAAGTATATATTGTTTGGTGACTTACAACTACATTATTTACTTTTTTATGTGATCTAGCATTGAGCAAATAATCATCCTCTTATCATGGAAACTTCAATGAATGGTTAAAACTGGCTAATTTTCAGAACTCCAAGTTTCCAAAATCCCAGGTTACATCAAACATAGGTTCCCAGACTTCCTAGAATTATAGACGTTATCAAACATAGTATTTGTCAGTTTGATACATCAAAATATCGAGCTTCCATAAGTTTAAAACTTCCACTTCCCAGAGAACTTCCAGTTTTCAGTGATCAAACAGGCCTAACAGTGTGCCTTGTTTTGAAGCATCTGTTTATTAAAACAAAAAACATTCTGGTAATGCAATTTCAAATACCCAGAGAACCTATATCTATTCTCTAATGAGATGAATCAGAAAAAGGAAATGGATCCACTTGAGTCCTTTATTCTCCTTAAATAATTTCCTTTTCTTTCCATTAGATGAAGTGAACGGCCTGCATTACAAATTTTAAGGGATATAAGAAAGAATCTTGCAAGCTTCATTCTTTTGGTGTTGAACAAGCTTTTAGTCTTGTTAGAAAGGGATATTTGGATTTCTATCCTCTATTCTTCACTTTTTTAAGTGGTTGCAATTCTTTTTTTCAAGTTGGGGTCATACCCCTACCCCTGTGTAAATAGTCTATTGCAATTGTATATTTTCAAGGATAAAATCAGGCTTGTGTTGTTACATTGATGTAGCTGTATGGTTGTTTTGTTTTTTGAATATGATGTAGCCATTGTTTCAAAAAGCGGACCGCCTAGTGCATGGGCAGCCGCCTTGGCGGATTTCCTTGGGCGCTCGCTTGAACCCGCCTATTTGGGTCTTTTTTTAATACTAAAGAGGTAAAATTGTGGGTTTTAGGTTCATTTGAAACCTAGAACCCATTAGATGCTATTTTAGAGAGAGAAAATCCAAAAAAAAAAATTCTACTGGGCCGCTCAGGTTCTGGGCGCCTGCCTAGGCGTTGGACGCCTGCCTAGGCGCTGGGCGGCCTGGACCCCTCGACCGCCTAGGAGTCGCCTAGAGCTTTTTGAAACACTGGATGTAGGGTCTTTGAATTGGAATACCTATATAGACTCAAATCCTTTGGAAAACCTATATTTTGTTGTTCACCAAATCACCTGAGGACCGCATGTAGAAAGAATTTCTACAAGAGACAAGCTGAATATGATTTAGGCATGAGAAGAAAATCAAGCAAGAGAATAGTCACATGGTTTTACATGAGACAAGCTGAATATGATTTAGGCATGAGAAGAAAATCGAGCAAGAGAATAGTCACATGGGTTTCCTCTTTATGTCATTTTTTATTTATTTTCTTGAATAGGGAAGATTTAGAAAGTGAGTCTTAATACCCGCTATGGTTTTGAAAAATTGTGGCTTTTGAGCAGCTTTTCCTTGTGAAGACTTTTTTTTCTTTTTGGGTCCTGTCATGTATCCCTTCTTCTATATTTTTTTGGCATTCTGTGATAAGTTTCCTCTTAGATCTCTTCTCCGTTTTCTGTTTTTGTTCTAATTGCATATAAAAAAGGGAAATGGGGAAGAATCTCGGATCATGTATTAGTAAATTATCTGAGACTATCTTTGTTGATTTAATTACTCATTTACTGGAATTGCATGATATTTAGTTGCATCTGAAAATGTCCAGGATTTCAAGTGCCTCAAACTGTGTTTAATGAAGGAATACATGTACATGCTTTACTTTCCCTTTTTGTTATTTTGTTTCTTTGTTCTGCAAAATAGATGTAATATTTCTCTTTGTACTTATTCCAATTATCCCATCAGGTATATGATGTAACACCATTCATGGACGACCATCCTGGAGGGGATGAGGTCTTGCTTTCCTCAACTGGTACACCCTTTTATTGCTGTGACCCTTTTCATTTCCTTGATTATATAGTCAAGTTATAAATCAGAAAGAGAATGTGAAATGGAAAACAACAGTTCTGGTGATGCTCCTTCGTGTTGGACAATTTATTTCTTTACTTCCTTTAGCTGCTATTAATTTCTTATGTGGAACTGGGCGTATCCTTTTTATGATTATTATAATTAGCACATCCCATAGTATGTCATCTTTGTGTGATGAAGCTTGTTTACTCTTAGTTGTTTAATAATTAGTTTCTAGCGACAACTGTACAGTGGTTATTATTAAATAAGTTCTTGATACATTGCTAAAAATGAAAAAAATGAAATAAAAAAAAATCTCTAAGTTGGAAACATGATAAGTTGTTCCTTTGAGTTTTTGCTACGTATCCATATGCTCAAAGCCATGCACCTCTCTATCCTCCTCCATAACATGCTCTCTTGCTCTTTCCGTTTCTCCACTCTAGTCCCCCAACCCTTTCCCTACTCTGGCATTATTTGCACTGCATCCTATACCATTATAAATAATACTTTAAAGGCCTTCCTCCGAAAACAACCTTCCTCCCATATTTTGATATTGTTTAGAATAAGGTTCTAGATAGTCGACCATCTTTCCCCCTCAAGTTTTTCCTTATTTAGAGATAATACTGACAAGAGTTGTAGGATCTTTAACACCTTCCTCCTCGTTCTTCCTGTTAAAAACTTTATCCTGCTCGTCATCGTATTTTCTTCATAATTGTCGCCTTCCATACCCTATTTTCACCATTTCCTCTCTCTCCTTCTTCCCAATCTCCAAGGGCCCTAAACCTACTATTAAATCATTTATCTCCACACTAGTGACTATACTGTATTTGACTCCCAATTAAGCTACACTCTAACTAGCTTTTTCAGTAGTCTTTCAGAGAAGCTGATGATGTTAACTGAGGTACATTAGGTATATGTGTTGACTGGAGTTAACTTGAGTCAGATATAGTAAAGAAGTTTGTTAGTTATCATAGTTTCATGTGCGTTATCAGTTCATAACAGTCATATGATCTTGTAAATTAAATTTTAATGAAAACACATCTATGTGTCTTTTAACATCCATTTTGTAAAATCACTTTTAAACTAATGGTTTTATTAACTCATTAATTGATGATCCAATATTTTATACTATGCACTTTAGCAGGCCACTTCTTACTCGATCTTTCTTGCAGGAAAGGATGCGACTAATGATTTTGAAGATGTGGGGCACAGCCAAGATGCTAAAGAGATGATGAACAAATACTACATAGGGGAGATCGACCCTTCAACCATCCCAGCAAAACGTGTCTATCAGCCAGCAAAGCAGGCAGCTTACAACCCTGATAAGACTTCTGAGTTTGTGATTAAGATACTACAGTTCCTGGTGCCTCTCTTGATCTTGGGGCTGGCTGTTACCATCAGATACTATACCAAAACAGAATAAGGATGTTCGGGCTCCCATTTCTATTGAATTTTCGTGATCCATGTAGTTTGTGAGGACTGAACTGTATAAGTGGATTTTCCTTCTGATATGAGTAAGTATGATGGCTAATTCATAATCACCAGATTGTGGGAACAGCTGTTAGAACATAGAATCGTGATTCAGACTCTTCAATGTTCTATTAAGGTAATGGATTCGCGCTCTCTCTTCATTCATTGCATTTCTACTGGCTCTTTTTTTCATGACGTTCTCTTTTTCCTCTTTTTCTTTTAATGTTATTTGGGACCTTGCTGGGAATGGAACCATCACGATATGGCACCCCCACCACCCTGGCCACCCAAGCCTATGGGCCATTCCTTTCAACATGACTATCTCCCTTCTTTTTCTTTTGCCAATGTTAAAGAATGAGCTAGCAGACATATACGAGTGTTTTGAAAGAATGACCTATCAAAATCATTGATTCCCAATGAAAGTAATCCTTATGTTTTATGATTTATCCTTATGTTTTATGATTTTCTTGGTTTGGTTATTTTTTTTATATCAACATTATTCTTTGAATTTGTTTGATGTAAATGAGATGCTGTTAAGAACGAATGGTTCCTTGTATTTAAACAGATGCTAACCAATTTACCTTTTTCAATTATTGGCCTTTTTCAGTTTATTTGATATTGAATGCAGACTTTTTGCGACTGTTTTTCTGATTTCCAAGGCCATGTAACATATTTGTTTGGGATTTGAGGAAATTTATTGCATTTTTTTTTTTTTATCTTTCAAAAATGTACTTCATTGTCGGCGATGCTTCTTCTTAAGAACCAATATATTTGAAAACTCTTAGGGTATACTTGGAAATATATTGTCTGTGAAATATATTACTGGCGTAATACATTACCTGCAAATGGATTGTTATTGTTTGCATAGTAGTTAGATGCAACTTGGGAAATACATTTTTATTGTTTGGCTATAACTTGAAGAAATATGAGAAATGTTGGGCATTACCAACATTTTACCAGCACTTGCCTATAAACTATTATTTCTCTTTTTTGGTCATAAAATTTCACCAAAATGCGTAATTAAATCATCACCCTATTTCAAAAAGATTTTTTTTATAATAGCATCATCACCATTTCAAAAAGACTTTCTAATAATAACTTGGGCCATTCTAAAAGTATCATCACACTATTTCCTACTTATTTTGCATGCTTTTGGTACTTATATGGAATCACACGTCTTCCAACATGATTATACTTTGGTTTCAACATGATAAGTCATTGGAATAATATGATTGGAATAACATGTTTTTATTGTAATAAGCTTTATTTTTATTAAAGTCTTTTAGATTTCTCTCTATATAATTTCAAATAAGCAATAAATTTATGATACCAAATTCAAAATCTTTATGGTACAAGTAAAAAACTGAAAAGAAGTTTGATTAGTAAACTAGAAGGTTCGGACGAGAGCTACAATCCAAATTGATGCTAGAGAAATGTGGAAATGGATGTGCGCAGTTGAGTGTAGAAATAGATGGATGTAGTAGAGTGTAGAAATAGATGTCGCATGATGGACACTAGAGTTGAGAGAGAAAGTAGAAATGAGTGTAGAGAGAAAATAGAAATGAGTGTAGAAATGGATGCAGTAGTGTAGAAATGGATGTGGCTAGAGTTGAGAGATGGATGTAGTAGTGTAGAAATGGATGTGGTTAGAGTTGAGAAATGGATGTGGCATGATGTGCAGTAGAGTTGAGAGAGAAAGTAGAAATGAGTATAGAGAGAAAGTAGAAGTGAGCATAGAAAATGTGTAGTGGAGTTGAGAGAGAAAGTAAAAATGAATGAGTGTGGAAATGGAATGAATGTAGTAGGATGTGTATTGGAGTTGAGAGAGAGAAAGTAGCAATGGATTTGAGAGAGAGTAGAAATAAATGAGTATAGAAATGGATGTAGCAGGATGTGTAAACATTTATAAGTAGAGTTGAGCGAGATAAAAGTAGAAATAAATGAGTGTAGAAATGGATGTTGCAGGACTTGTAAATATTTATAAGTGGAGTTGAGAGAAAAAGTAAAAATGGATGTGCCTGAAGAATGTAAGGAGAATAGGTGTGCATAGGAATGAACGTGCGGAGCACAAGAGAAAGGTAGAATGTAAATAGAATAGATGTGTGTAGGAATAGGAGAATAGGTGTCAATAGAATAGATGCGTGTAGGAATAGGAGAATAGGTGTCAATAGAATAGATGTATGTAGGATTAGGAGAATAGGTGTGCATAGGAATGGACATGCGGAGCACAAGAGAGCAGGTAGAAGATGTGCGTAGGAATGGATGTGCACAAGAGAGAGGGAGTATGAGAGCAGGTAGAAGATGTGCGTAGGAATGGATGTGCACAAGCGAGAAGGAGTATGTGAGTTGAGAGAGTAGAAATGAATGTGCACCTGAGAGAATGTGAATTGTGAGAGAGAATGTGAGTTAAGACAGTAGAAATAGGAGAATGTGAGTTAAGAGAGTAGAAATGGACGTGCACCTGTGCAGGAGAATGTAAGTTGAGAGAAAATAGAAATGGATATACGCAAGAGGGAGGAAGAAGGAGAATGTCAAGAGAATAGATGTTCATAGATGTGCGGAGGAAGAAGGAGAATGTCAAGAGAATAGAGAATGGCTGCGTGGAAAGAGAATGCGAAAAAAAATGTAGGTTGAGAGTAAATAGAAATGGATATGCGCAAGAGGGAGGAAGAACATCAAGATAATAGATGTCCGTACGAATGGATGTGCAAGTGAGAATGTGAAAAAAATGGATAAAGGAGGAAGAACATCAAGATAATAGATGTCCGTACAAATGGATGTACAAGAGAGAATGTGAAAAGGATGGATAAGGGAGAGAGAATGTGAAAAGGATGGATAAGGGAGAGAAAATGTCAAGATAATAGAAGAATGTCAAGGTAATAGATGTACGTACGAATGGATCTCCAAGAGAGAATGTCAAGAGGATGGATAAGGGAGGGAGAATGTCAAGATAATAAATGCAGAGAGAAATAGATATGCTTACGAATGGATGTGCAGGAGAGAATGTCAGATGGATGGATAAGGGAAGGAGAATGTCAAAATAATGAGTTAAAGAGAGATTAACCCAATTAAATCTTTTTCTCTACCAAGCGGATCATTATAAAGAGCAGGAGGTATTTAGTCAATCAAAAATTTAGGCAGCTGGGAATTCATGATGAGGTTTAGATATTTGATTTGTTTCTGCATATTTTTCGGTACAATTGAGCATTTTGCTTTTTTTTTAGGGAAAGGTTTCTATGCTTCCTCTATAGCATAGGAGTTCTATCCTCCCCTTATCATCCAGCCATCTAATTTTGATCAAGAGAGTCACTCACCATTTGATCTTAGATCCGACATTTCAAAGTATTTTATTTTTAGTTTTTTTTTATAAAAATTGTATAAATATGAAATTTGGTACTGCCATCTTCTCATTGGGACACACCTATAAAAAATATTAAAAATAATTGTTCAATAAAATATAATAACCAAAATAACCCTTGAAACTTTTAGGGGTATTTTAGTCATTTTATTTTATTGAAAATATTGTTTTTATATTTTTCGCTAGTGCGAGTTTAATAAAGGATTGAACGTCCAAAATTTGGTGTCAA